ACTTTGGACGGTAGACCACCTTTCATGGGTGTAAGGTTTTACATCACTGATTCCACACATAGCTCTTATGATCTATGTCGGTTAAGGCAAGTGTTCCCTAAACTAAAATGAAGTAATGAAGTACAAACTAACTAGGGTAACTTGAAAGGTTGACTTAGCTTTAGTAGGGGTGTGGGACTCTAACTATGTCTTGCTTTGTAGGGGTGTGGGACAATAACTATTGTGATACGCTCAGACTTATTTCTCAAATAAGAAGTAAAGCGGTCGTGTCAAGTAAATAACCCAACTAGTGAGGTTGGGATCGTTCCCACGAGGAAAATAGTCTAGACTTAACTTCAACCTGTTATTACTATTGTTTGGTCAATGATTTCCTTGGAAAATAAAAACAATAAAGGGGGGTTTCTATTTCTAAATGAGTAAAATTAATTAACAAACTTGACAGAGACACTTAATAACTTTGAATGTTGGATTTTAATTAATTAATCAAAGTAACTAGGGTTTACGTGTTCCCTACAGGTTCATAACTTGATAGCTCTAACTATAACAATTCTTTCCTAGTATCTTGCATGAAAAGTGATAAGTTATGTATTTCTAAATCCTTGGTTCGGCATCTAGAAAATCTCACTCCGCACCTTGGTCCGGCTACGTGTGTTGTTGTCATATTAAGAATCGTATTCGATATTTGACTAAGTTATTTCCTCGTACCAATCAATACTAGCCTATTAGATAGTATACACTAAATCTATGTTAATAATTCTTTTCCTATTATCTACCTCCTTTGTCCGGCATGTATCATTAAGGCGAGTTCTAACGTTGGTCATCCGTTAAAAGGACTTCTAAGCGAAATAATTATTAATACATGCAAGAGACTATTCTAGAATTTTTATTTTTAGTTAGGGTTTATCTCATTATTTGCTTAAGGTTCCCACAACACTAGTTATGGAGTTTATTTACTCATAGCCATAAACACAATATTCAAATATAGTAGATAAGACTTCATGTACTTACATCAATGAGAAAGAGTAAAATCCAAAAGTTTGCTTGATTAATCTCCAAAAGTCACTTGCAAGAATCTCAAAGTAATCAATAATCTCAAAAAAAGTCTAATGATTATCAAGAATCTCACAATAGAATGTTTACCAATAAGGAATTTTACAGTCTAAGAGTCTAACCTAACCGAGTCAAACTTCAAAAACGAGGTTTTTTGAACTATTTATAAAACATAAAAAATCTAACTAAACAAGGACTCTGTTTGCTGGAAATCTGCCAAAACGCGGCTGGGTAGACGGACCACGCGATGGATCGTCATTGTCACGACGGACCGCCATGGACTCCGTCGTCCCATACTTATGCAATTTCTTCTACTTCTCTCTTCACCACCCTCGAAGGCAAGTATGAAGGACCGTCATAGGCACAACGGTCCGTCGATGGCCTCCGTTTCAAAACACATCAACTCTTGGATTTTGGGTACTGGGATCATTTCTCTGAACATTATGACGAACCTACAGGACAGGCCGTCACAGACATGGCGGACCGTCACAAGCTTCGTAACCCCACACTTGGTCAGACTTACCCATCTTCCTGCAGCAGCTGCACTACGCTGCCACCTACGGACTGTCGCAAGCACGATGGACCGTCATAAGCTCCGTAGGTTGTCTCTTCTGTATTTCTTCGCTCAAAATCTCCGCATTCTGCTTTGGAAAGATTTCCTGCAAAACAAAGAGAAACTTATATAAAAATTAGCACAAAAAGACTTTCGGACACACTAAACTTAAGGAAAAAGTATTAATTATACCATGAAACCACGGTATGTCAGTCTCTAACCGTGAAAAATTATTAATTGCTCTAAAAAGTATATAAACCATGGTATGCATGTTGAGTTGACTAGTTTTTATGTTGCTGGTCTTGTGATGTACATGTCTATGACTTAATGAATATGTCTTGTTGAATTTTTTATGGTAATATTTTCAATGTAAATTGAATACTTAATGAAATGTCCTCTTTTAAGATGTTTCATGATATGTGCTCATAGGGTCTTAGTATAAGGGGAGTAATAACACCATTTCTTTCTTTTACCCAACATTTTAGGTTCCGGTCTTTGTAGAAATTTTGGATATGACTTGAATAATACTTGGATTTCTAACTCATCAATGTAGGGTAGGTCCTCACTTTTCGAGGGCAATGCCACTATCAAGCCTATGATGTTGCTTTAGTTCTAAGAATCTTATGTTTTTTCCTTTTCTTTTGGATATTAAACATCGTATGACCTATAGGTATTCTTATTTCATTAATGTATGGGATAGTCTAAACTTGATATACTCTTATTAGATGGTTATGAGATGAGACAACTATTTGAGACTATGTAATGTTCTGTATAGTTATGCTCAATAAAAGTAGAACACTAAGTAATCTTCCTATACAAAGGTCTATGTAAACTCGATATATATATATATATATATAGAGAGAGAGAGAGAGAGAGAGTTGATGCATTTTTATCCTTATTTAACTATATGAGTATAGGATGGTTATAATGATGATGTTAAGTAATGTATAGGAGGTCATAATGATTATAAGGGTCATTCTTAATTGCTTAAAAGAATGATATGCTATGTGTGATAAAGTAAATTATGTTGTGTCTTGTTTTGGTAGACTTGTGTCCCTTACATGATACGTGTATGAATGATATATGAATATGAGATGTCTTGACTAGGTAAGTTTTGTGCAACCTTGTGATGTATGAATGAATAATATGTGATACGTCAAATGATTGAAAGAAGGCCATATACGTTGAACCTTAAACCTAGTGGTAAGGCTATGTTATGAACTTGGAGTAGAGAGACATAATGATATCCTTCTTCCAATAAATGATGGACTTAGGTTTGATTTGATGGAATGACATCATACCATCCATAGGAAAGCCATGATGAGATATCTTAGTGTCAATTGAAAGGTTGGCTAGTGTACCTCTTTGGTAGGGTTAATGTTATTGGCTTATGCACTGAGTTATTATACTATAAGAAGTATCTCTATTTGAGAATGGGAGAAGGGTACAATGTAGCTCTACTTGAGAAAGAGACTAGAGTAGATAAAAGCTCCTCATATTTATATACCATGTGCCTACATGGGATGTGTCCTAGTTCTACCCTTGGCAAGTAGAACACCCTTATTGGAGTAGGTTAGAACTGCGGATTCCATGTTTAGCTGTCATGGTCTAATGTCGGTTATTGACTATTCTCATCATATGGGATACCTATGAGAATTAGGGAAGTTATGTTAGGTTTAGGTGGTTGTATAGGACGCTATCTTGACATTGCACAATAGGCGTTGAAGATATTAGTGAGAGTCCCTAGGTCTTCTCCAACAACATTACTTGAATGTCCTTTATGTGATGAAGGAGTCTTAAATGAACTAATGAATGTAATGACTTAATGTTAATAAAGCATGTAAAATGAATAAGTACTTGTTAGAGTAGTTAAGGGTTGTGTAGTTAAGGTGTGAAGGGAGCAGATGAATGTTCACTTCATATCTTACCTAAATAAGTCTAAAGAATGACTCTAGTTTCGGAAGATGGTTGATTATGTAGACATGATCTAAGCCTTATGTTTTCTTAAGGATTATTTATGTAATTATGTAGAGGTCAATAATGGATGTTATCTTCTCGATTTACTTAATTAAGTCTTTTGATAGACTTTGAGAGGAGACAGTGATATTATGTGTATGTTGTTGTATTAAGTGAGAATGATTATCCTAGGTATTCTCTTAAGTGTGCGTGAAAGGGATTGTATAGGCGGTCCCTTCACAACTCACTCAATTGAGACATAGAATCAACTTTGGTAGGAGGATCTTATGTTCAATGTTATGATGTATTTAAATGTGTATATCTCATTAGAGGTGGTCTTAAGGATCATTTAGGTGTGCCTAGAAGGATGTATGAGAGGTCTCTCTTTGTCTTACTTTAGTAATTCTTAGGATAATTTTTAGTGAATGGATGGCATGGTAGAAAGTATCCCTTGTGAAGTTGAGAAACTGCACTGTAACTGTGAACTTAGTTCAATGTAACTTGGCATGAGTTCGCTGTATTGTTTCTAAAAAGGTGATAAATTGATTAAGTGATTTCTTATGTGTTTATAAGATGTTAAATTCAATTCTTATGATTATGATATCACGTTTTAATGAGAAAGAGCTTTTTCCCAATAAATTTCCATTTTTCGTGATTTTAGGCATTAAGCCATACTTAGTACAAGTTCTTGTACTAACTCCATACATTTTGTTGTCTCTAAAGGTGTAGGTGAAAGGTAACAAGAACGTGAAGGAAAGCTTCGATTGTAGATTCGTTCAAGCAAAGCTGAAGTATGTCCTCATTTTACTCGAGGGTATATATATGTCTTTTTTTCAATGTATTGTAATAGACTAAGTATTTTTATGTTAGTATTGTATGGGCCGTGTCCCGCGTATTCTTTAGTATATGAATGACATATGTTGAGACTATGTATTTCTATGATTTTAATATGAAAAGATGCTTTAGGATATTCGTGTGAAAAGTTTTAAGTTCGCACTACTTTTCATATGCTTATATGCGATGAATGATATAGAAGAGCTTGTACAAGACCTCCGAGAGGTCAAGTACACTGGTTTCGTTCCAAGAATGCCATATCTTCTTGGGTGTTGTTTCTAGATGACATTTAATTATTGGTTAGTAGGGGTTTCTAGTGATTTGATTACCTAGATAAAATCTAGTGATTTAATTACCTAAATAACCTTTACTATAAGTCACCAACCCAATTAACCCAAATCATTCCAACTCTACTCACAAAAAGCAAAACAAAAATCTCTCAGAGCTCTCTAAACTCAAGAACCAATTAAAAAAGGAGATCTTGCTTCAAGTAGGGATTCAAAAATGGGACTTTCCTCCATAAATACTTAAGGATTAACAAGGTATGGTTGATTTCTCTCTAGGAAATCCTTTCCCTAATAGGCCCTCTAATTAGATGATTTCAAAGGTCTCCCAAATTCTAGATCTCAATCCAAAACGTGGCTCTTCTTTTGAAAGTTGATTTTATTGATATAAACTGATATTTTATGATCATATAGGAATTTGTATGGATGATTAAAAAATGTATTGGTTTTTTTTGGAGAATACCCCATAAGAACCATGTTTCCCCTTTTTTCTAATTTCCAAATCGTAGCTTGTATTGGATAGTGATTCAATATTGGGAAATGAATATGTTATTATGTAGTTCATGTTTTTATGATAATAATTACCTAAATTATTGATTATTACAATGGAATTAGGGTTGAATCTTGAATAAAGCCTTGAACACTAAGAAGTAAAGTTATCAATTTAATGAAGGATATTCTTACTTAATGATTGACCCTCATTAGGTGGATCCAACTTCTTGAATTATGTATGATGGATTTGGATTATGGTTTCCTATTACATATAATCCAATTTGGTAATAATGGTTTCCTATTACATATAATCCAATTTGGTAATAAATCATATTTATGATAATATGATGCAAGTATAGATGTTGTGATATGTTGACAATAAAGTTGTTATGTTTAATAGAAGGTAATTTCAATAACAATTTATGAATAGTCTACGAATGATGTTATCTCACATGATGTCTGTTTTCTGTTGAAAGTTCTTTCTTATCTATAAAACTCTTATGCTATTTGTTATAAATGGGGTAATTCCCTAAGGTAATCTTTAGGAACAAAGGCTTAAGTAAAGTACAAATTTACCTAAATGGGTGATTGTTCTTAGCACCGAGAGGATATTTATATGATATAGAATTCCTTCACAAAGAGAAAGATGGTTCCAATAAATAAGACTCATGAAATGGAACTCAATATGCTAATGAAGTATAAAGAGGGTTTCTAGAAGAAGTCTCCTTATCCTTTAACTATCTGTCAACAAAGGAATGATTAGCTATTGGATACATCTAGATGTTATTGAGTAATGTATGTTCTATCATTGCTAGTTTAAAACTCTCTTTTCTATTTTGGATGAAGACATTGAATTCCATAGTAACTCCTATGGTCTATGTCGATTATGGAAAAGTCTCCCAAACAATGTAAGAATAAAAAAGTGTATGAAAATGACTATGAATGAGGTTATGAACTCTTATAAGTTTTCCTCATATATACCACTTCATATACTTATGAGTTATGTTATGGTTGTGTCGATTTATTATAATGATGATTATGCAAAGACTTTACCTATGTCTTCGTAATAGTTTTACTTAGTATATATTTGGGTATGGGACTTCATGTATACATTTCATAAGTAAAATAAAAGGGGGTCATGGGTGGTATTTTTGATAATATAATATTTATTGACCCAACCATGTGATATATTACATATGCCTTGTACAATGTTTGTTAGAACTATGAATGTTTCTTTACCTTATCATTGGATTGATTGCATGTTCGTGAATGTTCATTGAGGCTTTAAACTTGAAAGTGTGTTATACTAACCTATATTCTTTTCCCCTTTCCCACTAACGTAGGTCTGGGCCATTGAGGTACTTCTAGGCCATTCTTCAAGAAATTTGGATTGTTATTCCCAATATGGTGAGTCCTCAAGTCATAGGAGGAGACACCTATGATTCTAGCTTTAATTAGTTTACTTTTCATTTGTGAAAGTCCATGTTGTACTTTCCTATTCTAAGATTCATCATTGATGTAAGGGCTAGGTCCCAACTTTCATATTCCTACGTCTAAATTGTATTGTGAGACAAATTTATTTCCCATTTTCATATATCTTGCATACATTGTAAAATTATCAACTTTTTCTACTTTTATTCTATGATATATTTAATAATTAATGTGAAGGAAAATGTATAAGATCTATTCTATATCGAATATGCCGGTTATGACTAGGTGGTAATCTCAAGTCGTGACACTAAGCTTGGAGCGGTTAGTCATTTTAGTTTCCAAATGTTCTAAAAGAGTACTCTTATGGATGCTCACAAGATCTTTGTAGTGCCTTGTGAAATAGCTACTATTGGCTTCTCTTATATTCTATATGATTAATTTCATTGGAGGAGTCATTTGCGAGGGTTCCGATAGTTTTCGTTTCCTCTTGCCCCTCTTTGATGGCACTTGGTTGCTGCGTAAGTTGTTTAGAGACACTACCAGTGGGAGTATATTTTCCTAACTACACAAATCAAGAGCTAGAACGTTGCCTTCGGTGGGCAAGAATAAAAAATAAGTTATTGTATTGAAGTTCTCACTGAACTCTTTCCGCAACCTTTTCCCCAATTATGACACTTCTATTGTTTATTCTTCCAATGCGCAGAGGAGATCCTCCATTCCCTTATGTCAATATGTTAGAGCTTCCAGCGCTAACATAGTGCCTCCCCGGGGTTTCCAATAGGTTGTTCACGCTTTACATTGTAAAGCTAAAGAGAGTCTTCATGATGTTTGGGGTCAAAGGTGGCCCTAGGAAGAAGGTTTTTTCTGGTAGACTTGGTGAAGGAGGTTGTTATGATCACTTCTATTCAATAGTGTAAGATCCCCATAGACACGGGCTTGTAGGACTATTTGTAACCAGAGTTGTTGTCCAAACATTGATGTAGCTCAGATCATTCCCTATCTCACCAAATTGACCAGGAATCATTGGTGTAATTGATTATCATGATTTTAGGTTGCTTCCCGATTGTCATGTTCAATGAAGGGACTTGTTTTAGGGCACCAGCTCCCTCTACTACTCCGGGACATGGTTATTTAGTGGGGGGGAGGGGTTGCAGTGATGATGAGTGTGTACGTCATTGGGGGTGGGTACTCATTTGAACTACCAATTTTTTGAAAGAGAGCTAAGACCTTTTTTGGCCGAAGGATCCCTAATAGGGTTTTCTTTATCCTTGGAGTTAATTGATGTTATGTCCATGGTCATATCCAGACTAGAAATATGATGATTACTCTCCAAAGTGGAGAGAGGAAGTTATCATGTGGCGGTTACAATTTCATTCCCCGTAGACGGAGGTTTAGGTTTGCATCTAGGAGGGGAGGCTATATCATATCTATTACCATTAGCGGGACGAAATTATATGATGTGGAGAGAGTAGGACGAGTTTAGCGTTTAGAATTAATTGATTATCTAAAAGAGAATGTTACTTCCAACCTTGTTGACTTTTCTCAAAGCAGTGGGGACACTTGGGCATTTTCAGACATTTGAAAAGGTAGCATGCCTCTCCACAAAATTTGGATCGTGGTTTTTGGGTTCATGTCACGACCGGAGAGCACCCCCTAGACGTAACGACGTTGATAGAATAGCCCTTAACATTATTCATTACATGTTATATGTCAAAAATGCAGAAAATTGAATGCTTTTACATAGGGAGGTATACATAGATCTCTCACTTATCATATATAGAGTTTACATAGCTCCTCTCTTAGTGAATCTTACTTAGGATTCTTGTTCAGACAACATAACCAATACATACGATATAGACTAATAACATCGTCTCACATTTAACCATCTAAAAGGAGTTCAACATTGGACATATCATTACAACTTTAATACGCCATTATAGGCTAACACCAATAGTCACAAATAATAATGGAATGAAATATTATCTTAGACATATAATCAAAATAGTTAGAATAGTGAGATGGTACATCCCAAACATTGAGGACTTACAAAAAACATGGGGAAATTAGTCCAAGTCTTCTTTCTTTTTGCCTTTAAGTAATTCAACGACCCGAGCTTACGTTGTTTTGGAAAAAGGGAAAGAATATGGCTAACTACGTATTGAAACATATGCAAGTAAAAACTTTGACATCATGATAAAAAATACACTTTGTTCAAAACAATGCTAACTCACTTTGAAAAGCCTTTATGCACAATTAAGAACATACGCAAGCTAATATACATAGATTTCACTTAAGAAAATTCCATATTTAACACAACACCGACATCCTCATAAAGTCAAATAAACATGGATATTATCAACATAAGTTCACATCAAGATGAATGACATCATATTAAGACCATAAAGGCATAAAATGTCACGACCGGGGAGCCCCCCCAGTAGTAACTTGAAGTACTTGACCTCATAGAGGTCATATACAAGTCCATAGTTATCTTTCCTCGCACAGTCATAAGTAAATTTAGCAAAAAGTTTAAAACATTCATAGCACATCGTATAATAGAACATCACTTCCGTTATATATAAAATTATCATAAGTACATTGTTAGAATCTAAGTCTCTTTTGACATCTTAGACTCACCATCATTAGAGTATAATAGGGACACGTCCCTTATTAACATATAATCATAACTAAACTATAACATAACTATAAATAACACCTTTGACATAGGCAATTCTTGAAATATTAAGGATCCTTTTTCTTGAACTTGGGAAGGACATATAAACCCCTTCATTTTAGAGACATCATTTAAGCATCCCTAATCTACACTTTGTGAATAAAGGTAAAGAAGAATGTTGTTAGTACAATAATTCACTAAGTATGACAACCATGCTAAAAACATACATTTAAAATGGACATTGAATTTAAAACCATGCATGATGCCTTTTTGTAGAACTTCTTAAAACTTGATACATTAACCATCATACAGTTCACATTCTACATATTGACATATATAATGGTCATAACATCTCATAATCCATTTATTTCATTTAACACACATTTACATTTCATTTACAGTAACTTCATTTCGTTTACAATAACCTCATTATTTTTTTACTCCTTAACTTTCCAAGTAACACTTTAGTGATATTTGGTTCGATGTGTTCATAACATCCCATTCCACTATCAAAACTCAAGAATTACCTTAAAGACACAAATTAAACAAATATACGACCTTCGTTAACCTAATATATATATTCATATAAGTATAGCATATCATAAGACACATACTTCATATTTGACCAAACATAATTTATGAACTAAATTAAAGAACTCATTACAAGACCATATGCTAGTCAAGACTTCCAATATCTTCATAAAAAGAAAATAGACAACAGTAACATACTTTAACATCACTTCACATAAAACATCATCGAACTCCACTCATAATTCCAATCTAATATTACTCATGGAATGTACTGTGAAGTCCAATAACCTCACGCATACTGAGTAAACCTATAAAGAGACTACAAGCAGCTGATACTCCATTCATCATCAAGAAAAGTATAGACAACTTCATACATTTGAAGTAATTCCTCATCACATAGTCAACAAGACCGATATTATGCATGTATAGTAAGACTTCATCATATAGACTCTATACAACTCAAGCAATTCATATCATGCAAATAAGTCTATACATAATTTCATGCATAAGAGACATGTACATAGACATATACACATAGAGCACCTTCCTACAAATCCCTTCTAGAGATACTTGTGCAATACATAGGTAAAGTCCCATACCCTCACCTACACTACACAACTTTCCTTAGGTTATCCTAGTTAGGGTGCAATACTTTACTTCCATTGTCCATTTTACTTTAGGGAAAACATAGGCTTAACAAACAATAAGACCATCTAATCCAAACATGGAATTTTGTGTCACCTAACCCCACACAAAAGGAGGTGTTATACTGGACAAAGAATAACATCAAGTCATCCTAGCATCTAAGGGAATACACTTGCTAGGTCCTATGGGGGCATCATAGTTTTGGAACTAGGAGATGTATATTGATACCCTCTTTATACCCTTGGGAAGTATAGTTTCCCCCTCATGAGGAAATTTGGTTAACAAATCTTCCTCATTACAAAGGGGCACCTTCTCATTCGGTTAAGTTCAGTCACTTATAAGTTATGTTCCCCCTATTAAAAGTCTTTATGAACTTTTCTTCATAAAAATGTCCTTAGGAGAATTTACCCCTCATATGCTTATCTCATAGGTTTTAGATTAGAATGTCCTTTCATCAACCTATTTCATGTGAGTAAACCGTTCACATGGACATAGCATATTCAAGCACATCTGGTTTAAAGTAAAATTTAGAATACCTTTCAAGAGAATCCCTCTTTTCTAGATTACCATACATGCTTCATCATAAACATTCATGTGTCTGTATGTGCATAAAATGAGAAGATATTTTACAAAAACACATTCAGACACTACATGCTCATACTTCATCATATCATATACTTGACATCATAACATATAGGACATGTTCATATCTTAGTCATGCATTGATATTCATGTTCATATAGATTCAACCTAGGAAATATCCTATCAAGTCACACATGTGCAATGTATAGAAAAGGTCCCATACCCTTGTCATTACTAGTACACTATCAATTCATCCTAGTTAAGAAATACTTTCATACTTCATGGACACATACTTTACATGTATAGTAGTAGACAATAGTGGATGTGACAATTAACCTTTCATTAGACACCATTGACCTATATTAGTTGTAAGCATACATGAGGTGTGAGTGTGTTTACAGTGGTCAACATGATAACACAATGACTATAAACATAGTATTGAGGTTGCCACCCTCTTAAGACCATAATGAACATTCAAGCATACACCACAAACACATAATAGCATAGGAGACAAGACAACTTGAACATTTTTATTCTAAACTAATAACATTGGCTAAGATCACACATTAATCTAGGGGTTCATAGGTAGAGTCATAAACAAATTATTACTTCCTCCATGGCAGAACCTAAACCATACATAAGCCTAACACTTCAATCAATTATAGAAGACATCAAAGTAACCTATATCTTGAATTAGTATGGGACTGTAGGCATATAACTTTAAATTAT